CTGTCAAAGCAACAACATTCCTAGAGTATTTTCTTGTTTATTTTCAAAGTAAAAGCACAACGTTCACTTGTGCGCTGCAATATTTTATACTGAGTGAACTAAATCTTTGTTTTTATTTTATTTCCCTGATGGTCTAATGGCTAGGATTCAGCGCTCTCACCGCCGTGGCCTGGGTTCGATTCCTGGTCAGGGAACTAAACTGTTGCGAGAGGCAGTAGTCTGTAGAGACTTGGCTTGGGAACCGGAGGGTGGCCGGTTCAAGTCCAGCATGGAGAGAAGTTGGAGAGGAGCCAGTTCACCTTCTGGGCACTGCCGAGGTGCCCTTGACCAAGGCACCGAACCCCCCATGGCTGCCCACTGTTCCGTGTGCACTGTGTGGATTGTGTTCCGTGTGCTCCGTTCACATGGATGGGTTACATACAGAGGTCAAATTTCCCCATGTTTGCAGCATGTTGCATGCTGTGTGTGGGACAATAAAGAGGAATCTTAATCTTATTTTGAAAGGTGGTGAACGTGGGGTTGAAGAAAGAGCCAACATGCAGTATGAAAACTAAAATCAGTTCTGTAAATCATTTAAACTTATATAAGACACAAATGTGGGTGTGAGGCTGTGGCTGAGGGGTAGAGCGGTCGTCCTCCTACCAGAAGGTCGGAAGTCCGATTCCCAGTCTTGACATCTGCATGCCAAAGTGTCCTTGGGCAAGATGCTGAACCCCGAATTGCCCCATAGAACAACAACAATAAAAGTGCTACTCATAGATGCACTGTATGTATGAATGTGTGTGTGAATGGGTGAATGGCAAACTGTAGTGTAAAGCACTTTGAGTGGTCTTGACTAGACAAGTGCTATATTAATACTACCATTTACAAATGAACAGTAATAAAGCAAATTCAGATTCATTTTATGTAAAACAATACAACATCTTCATTGCAGATAAACCAGGCAGGATAAACACACAGTTTTCTGACTTCGCAAACAATAGGTTCAAATTAAAAGATCACGGATTGTTAGAGCAGAAATGCCATAATAGAAACAAGTTTTAAAAAAAATTAAAATTGTCAAAACACAAACTGAACCTGAGTGTCAGTTTCTTTAGTGAGCCTCTTGGTGGTGCTCATGTTCTCTCAGTCTGGAGAAACGCCCTCCACCAAAAACAGACACAAAACATCGAGGAAGACATCAAACTGTTTTCAACCATCAAGCTMCATCTTACTCACGTATGCTCTGTTGTAATCTCTTCCATAAAACTTGATGGRACARRMWAASTRCWMAGTAGAAGAGGCTGACATGGAGACATGGTGAGAGACAATCAGTAGGTTGGAGCACATCAACAGCTGCAAATATGTTATGGAACAAAGAGCTCACAGCAGCTGTGGACTCAACCAACAGCTTATCACTAACTCTTCAGCTTGATAATGATCTTCCTGCTTCACCTCATATAATTCTGCTGATCGTTCCTCTGTCTGTTCAGCTAACGTCCCTAAACTCATAGTTTGGGTGGGGTTTCAAAATGGCTGCCATGTGGTTGAAGTCATGTGTGTTCTTACCTGCAGCAGACAGCTGGCTGAGTGCAGCCAGGTAGACCAGGACGAGGAGCATGTTGGAGGAGAGCCGTCAGATGACGGAGAGCTGGAGGACACACAGTCTCACGCAGTCAACACCTTCACGTCACAAATCTGCCCAGTGTTTGAAAATGAACAATGACACCTGATCCCATCAATTCAGTCTCATTCAGTTCAATTCTGTTGAGTCCAGTTGGTCTCAGACGATGACTCACAGCAGACAAAGACCACATTCATGATCACTCTTCACAGAAATACACAGTCCAGCACCACTGAGTCTCTCTTCACTGTACGTCCATCAGTCTGGTTTGGATCAGCCTCCAAACATGACACATTTTAAAACCAGTACAGGTGAATAAAGGACACACACAACCATATTAAAGGTACAGTGTGTAGAATTTTGTGACATTGAGTGTTGAAATTGCATGTTGCAGCTGAACACCCCTCACCCTCTCCTTTCAAAAATGAAAAAGAACCTGTGGTAGCCTTCAGTTGTCATAAAAACTCAAAAGGTGTTTAGTTTGTCCAGTCTGGACTAATGTTAAAAAACATGGCGGCCTCCGTAGAGAGGGTCCCCTCAATGTAAATATAAAGTATTTAAATATAAAGGACATTTTCTGGGGTAAAGAAAACTACAATTCATACAATTTAGATGAAAATAGCTACTGAAAACATCATGAGGATTATTCTACATTAAATTCCTGCCAATAGATCCCTTTCACCTAAATCTTACACACTGGACCTTTAACAATGTGGAGAAAACTGTGTTGTGACAGTAACTTGAACGTTTCACTGCTTAGATTCTTGTTGGGCTACAAAGAACAATTATATCAATAACTGATTCATCTGTGGATTTATTTCATTATTATTAATCTGATAAAACGTTTAATCCTATCCAGAACATTTGAAAAGCAACTTTGTCTTCTTGTACAATGCTCTTTCTATATTTCAAGTATCTGCAACTTCATTATGACCATTAATACAGTTTCATATATCTACAATTCAATTCTGAATAGTCATAATTCAATACATCTTTAATTGTCCTCAGTTTGAGATGCCTTAAATTACATGTGAACTGGTCAGAATTAAATTGTAGATATTTGAAACAAGGCTTAAAGGGAGTAATAATTCAACTAAACTGTAGATATCTATAATGAGAAACCCCCACGCAAAAGTCAAAAGTATTGCAGATGTAGGAAATTGGAGTTTTGAGTGTTCAAAACAAACAAAGACATTGTTTTGACCAGTCAGAAGGATATTAGTATCTTACATAAAAAATGCTATTAGTCAAATGTATGACGAGTAAAAATGATTTATCTGTTAAGTTAATTCTGGATAATCAAACTTGTCAAACTAGCTTGTCCTGCTAAATGTGCCTGAATGGGACCTGTGTCACTCACAGCAACGCGAGCTGCTCTGGGCTAAATCTGTGTCTGACTACATTTACACAAAACCTCTCAATGATCTTTCAGTGGATTGTTGTTATGCTTTAGAAAATAAAAGCTCTGATTTTTTACTTTAATATAAAGTGTACTTATTYATGTAAAGTGTACTTATTACGACTTGTCTTCGCTGTAGTTTGTCATGTTTGTCTCTTTGTTCCAAATTTTGACTCCAGGAGACAGTGTGGTCATGTGACCTACATAAGGCACGTGATTGGCTGGTCTATTGCCCCTAACTCCGGAAACTGTTGCCAATGTGTGCCGTGTATTATAACAGATTCGACTAATGACTATGAAAGTGGTTGAAATTAGAATCAATTAGTTGTTGCAGCACTAGTTTCTTGCACTTTCTCTTCACATTTTATTTTGCTGACTTGTGGCATTTTCCAAATAAAATAATGAAGTGATGAATCCTGTCTGCTGCAGTTGGAGGATTAAAACCAGTGTCAACAATGTGTCTAAACACTTGAGTGATGAATAAAATATACATATACATAAACATCTCTCAGACCAAATGTACATCTATTATCAGTACTTCATGTTTTAAAGAAATAAAAGTAGTTTTACTTTGTTGATTAAAGTCATGGGTTGTAATTACTAATGTTGATGCTGTGTTTTATTGATCCTTCACATATAAGAAGTAACTGTAGTTGTCTGTATTGTCCCATTGAGGTAGAAATGATCTGATAACTAAACACCAGCAGCCTCTCTGTATCTTAGTCTTAGCTTGTAAGTATCTTGTTAGTTTTCTGCTGTTCATCAGAGGAGCAGCCTCTCAATACAGAGACTGGCTGTACAAATGTTCATCATGTTTAATATGTGTTATTACATCAGATTGTGTTTGAGTTCAAACACCCACGAGCTCAACAATATCATCTCAGTCAGTGAGATATCACACTACAATGAAGAACCGCCTGTGGAGCTCTGGGACTAAAAACTGTTGACCCCCACGGCACACAGCACGTATACTACTTCCCAAAACCTCCAGAAGACACAGAATTACTCTTAACTTGAAATAATACCTTGATTAATGTAATAGTCAAGGAACATTAACTCAAAAAATAGTAGAAGAATTAAAATAGTTCATGAAACTTGAAATTAATTGAAATCATATGGAGCTAAATAACATGAAGTAAACATGTCTTTTGTCATCTATTGAGAGGTGTGGGGGCCACAGGATGTCCCCTACTTTTCCTCTTTGTTAATCTAGCCTTGAGCAGAATAAAAACACTTGTCTCAGAACACCTGACTCAGAACAAACACAGTGGGTTTACAGCTCCTGTGCTTGTCCGACTTCAGTGCTGCTCTTTGTTTGGAGAAGCAGAAACCCAGCAAAGCTATGCAGAGACAGAGGTAGAGACAGGGACACACAAAGACTTACCTTCTTACCTTCTGGATGTGATCTGGAGGACCTGGGAGAAAATGTTCTCTGAATAGACCTCGGCTCTGCTTCAGATTCCTCTTATTCAGGTCTCTGAGAAATGTGGTCTCACTCTGTGATGCTCCTCTCTTATGGTCAATTAAACCCTGTGTTTTGAAACTGGTTTGAGTTCATTACTTTGTCTAAACTGGTTTGAGTTCATTACTTTGTCTAAACTGGTTTGAGCACATTACTGTATCTAAACTTCACATTAATGAGTAACGCCACATGTCAATCAGAAACAACAATGTACAAAACAGGTTATTATGAGTTACATGTCATAATAACCTGCAGGCTGTTTTGCAAACGGTTGCCTCTAAAGAATTACTGACGTATGTGAGGGGTGGAACTTGTTCATGTTCTCCAGACTGAGAGTCACTCAGCAATTCCCATTCGATTGATTTCTATCTTATCTCTTTTAGCAGAGGAAACACAGGGTCATCCTTTATGAAAGGAAAGGAGAAAATGACATCCCACAGTTCATAGCGGCAGCAACATCTGACGTGACCCAACATCATCGTTACACCCGATCAGACCCATGTAACTATGAAAATAGAAAAGATCTCTTTTATTCACATGACAAGACAGATTTGATGTAAATCCTGAGATGATCCCCTGAGCTCCTGATTTTTTCTCTTAACATCTTGATAACAGTCCTGTCAAGGCTGTCATCTCACTTTAGCCTGATGCAACACTCATCAATGTGAATTAGTGGTGCAATGGATCATCATTGATCCGTGATCCATTCGGATCAATATCTTCGGTTAGGCACACACGTGAAAAAAAAAAAATTGTGCGCATGTTCAGTCCACACACAGCGTGGTCATGGCGAGCAGAGGAACGGAGGAGCTTGAATGCCCCGCGTCATTTAAATCCTCTGTATGGGAGCATTTTGGCTTCCCTGTCAAATATAATGATGAAGGAAAGAGGTTAGTGGATAAAACTGTGATGGTGTGTAGGCACTGTGGCACAAGAAAGCCATATGACAGTGGAAACATATCAAGCATGGCCACGCATTTGAAGCGACATCACCCCAGTGTTTCACTGACAGGAGAGAAAACGAAGGCTGCTGAACAACCGCATATCACCGCTGCATTTATGCAGCCCCTTGTTGCACAATGCGACCGGGCTAAAGCCATCACAAACGCTATGGGTGTTTATAGGTGCAGACGAGGCCATATTGGGTTGTGCAAAACGAGTGCTTTAAACACATGCTGAAAGTGCTTGAGCCACGTTACGACATCCCGTTGCGCACCCACTTCAGCGAAAAGATTGTGCCAGATCTTTATGAGCAGGAGAAGAAAAAAGCTGTGGATGAACTATCCCGAGCATCCTCTGTTGTGCTCACGACAGACGGGTGGACGTCCAGGGGAACGGAGAGCGATAGCAGGGGACATAGTGACTACAAAGAGGTCCACACTCTCCCAAGATAATGTAGACATCCTTGTCTTTTTGAAAAAGAATTTGAAATTATAAGCTCAGGTATGCTTTGCTTTCTTTCTTTTATTCCTCTTTGATGATGTGGACATAGGCTTTATTTCACTCACTATCCATGTTTCAAGGAAGATGATGTGCCTTCTTATGTTGCACTTTAAGTTGTTTTTTATTAAAGGTCGCATCGCTTCTTAATCCTACATTCAATGCTGTAATATTCTCCATGTCTGTTTTCAAAATGTTGTTTTGAATAGATGATCTTTTTTTTGTCAGATATTAATCATATATGACTCCTTCATGCACATGCAAGTTAATCATGGAGTTCCACAAGGTTCTGTCCTTGGACCAATACTCTTCACCTTATATATGCTCCCCTTAGGCAACATTATCAGAAAAGCACCACATACAATTCCACTGCTATGCAGACGACACCCAATTGTATATTTCCATGAAGCATGATGAATCTAATCGCCTAGTTCAACTTCAGGAATGTCTCAAAGATATCAAGGCCTGGATGACCCAAAATGTTCTACTTTTAAACTCAGACAAAACTGAGGTTGTTGTAATTGGCCCTAAACATCTCAGAGAAACACTGTCTGACCAGATAGTCACTTTGGATGGTGTCAGTCTGGCTTCCAGCTCCACTGTGAGGAACCTTGGAGTGTTGTTCGACCAAGACATGTCATTTGACCCCCATATTAAACTAGTGTCTAGGACGGCTTTCTTCCATCTGCGCAATATTAGCAAAATTAGAAACATCTTGTCTAAGCAGGATGCTGAAAAACTAGTCCACGCATTTGTAACCTCTAGATTAGATTACTGCAACTCTCTATTAGCAGGATGCTCCATGAAGACTGTTAAAAGTCTCCAGTTGGTCCAAAGTGCTGCAGCAGGAGTGCTGGCAGGAACTAGAAAGAGAGATCATATCACTCCTGTCTTAGCTTCCTTACATTGGCTCCCGGTAAAATTTAGAATAGAATTCAAGATCCTGCTCCTCACTTTTAAAGCCCTCAACAATCATATATCAAAGAGCTGATAACACCTTATTATCCAAGTAGATCACTTCGTTCCCAAAACACAGGCTCTCTAGTGGTTCCAAGAGTCTGTAAGAGTAGAACAGGAGGTAGAACATTTAGCTATCAGGCTCCTCTCCTGTGGAACCAGCTCCCACTCTGGCTTCGGGAGGTAGACACTGTCCCAGCATTTAAAGTAAAACTAAAAACCTTCCTCTTTGACAAAGCCTATAGTTAGTTCTGGATCAGGTGAGTCCTGAACCATCCCTTAGTTATGCTGCTATAGGTTTAGACTGCTGGGGGAACTCCCATCATGCACTGAGCACTTCTTCACTTTGCTCTGTCTCTCTGCCCCCCCACACCTGTTTATTTATTTATTTATTTATTTATTAGTTTTAACATGTCATAATGTCAAAGTGTCACTTTGTCCTCCCATAGTCCCTCTGGCTCTTCTCTCTCTCTCTCGTTTCAGATAACTCTGGCACCGGGACTTCAGGACAACAACGACTACCATCACCATTGTTAGCATTAATTAAAATAACTCAGTAATTCATTAATATATATAATCCTGTTGTAGATCACTACATTGTTATTGTTATAGTCAGCCCTGATAGTGATTGGTGCCCAATTGTTCCCGGTCTCTCTCTCTCCACCTCATCTCTCTCTTCTCTCCCCCGCTTTCCTAACCATTTCTCC